TAATGATTCTATGATTCTATGATTTCTAAAGTCTTAGTTAAGTAATAGTTTTGCTTAAATTGCCTTTAGTTTTACACCTGTTTCACCCTGAGATTACATTTCTTAAGAAATGTCTTTTCACACAATATTGAGTGTGGTGGATCCTGAGCTCTCAGTGCTGGAGGGAAAACAGCACATTCTGCATGCAGGTAGCTCAGTACCAGTAAGACAACAAACAGTTAAATGGCATGTGGGACAAGTGATTTAAGGCTCCTTACTGGTGAGTTTGGCCAAGAGAAGCTTAAGGTTCATGTCAGCTTCAAATGATGTGTTGTGGATGGTTTTTTTCCCCAGAGGAACAATGGCCAGTGCACAGTCATTTTCTTAACTTGTTGAAGGCCTTGATAGTTCCTGCTACCAAATAGTTTTATGATCTGAGTTAAAAACCACTCAGAACAATGTGATGTACTTCATCAGTGGACTGCTGTGTTTGAGAAACTGTTAATGTTTCCTTTCCATGAGTGACTTTAAACAGCCTGTGTTAATTAAAAATAAAACCAACAATGAAGAAAGAAACCCAAAAGGATAACCTCGCAATGTCACAGTTGAAAACTGAGTGTGCTACAGGAGAGTGGTAAATTTTTGCATGTGAAAAGATCAATTTCTGCTTTAATTTGAAAGTTCTGGCTAGTGATGTTTTTAATGTGTTGTTTTTCTCTCTTCTTACAGGCGCTCTATACTGTAGTTGCTTTTAGCCTAATTTCATAGAGAAGCAAAGTTTATACTATCACTGTTTGTCAAAATGAGAACTCCATAGTGCATTTCCAAATATTTAGAATCACATGCCGTTCAGGAAATCCCTTGGGTGAAATGAGTGGGACAATGGAAGAGTGGAGAAAACTTAACGCATCCCCTGTTTTTATACTCCCTCTTTTATCCACATTGACTAATATCAGATACAGGATACTAGACTAGACTGATTTTTCGATCAGGCTGAGCATCAAAGTTCTTAGTGTCTGTATTTCAATTCTCTCTTCCTAGCCATAAAAACTTTTATATCCACTGTTTCGTAATGCGCTGTTCAGTATTTTTGAGGAGACACCTGTTTTGTGTGTTAAAAGGTTCATGATTCCAAGAATGGTATTTACCCTCACTTTTTTTGTCTCAAAACTGTAAATTCCTCAAAAGATTAATCACTTTCCTTTATTTAACCGTGTCTGTAAATGAGCTTTCGGATCTATTTGTTGAGCAGAATGCAACAAACTGAAATGTACCTGCCAAATTCTCTGTTGCATGCCATTGAAAGCTGTGTTTCTTATCAGTGCTTCAAAGAGACTGGAAGGCAAACTGTTAATTGGAGTATATTATTAGCACTATTAAAAGGTTTGTTACTGCGTGACTCTCCATAGATTAGCTTGTACTGCTTTTAGCTACTAGTGCAACTCACTTTTACGCAAACCTCTGGAGTTAGAAAGACTAATTTTACTACATTTCTTTGTTTGATAGAGACCAGCTTGCACAGCCAGAGAAACCTGCTAGTCCCAAGTTCATCGTGACACTGGATGGCGTGCCCAGTCCACCAGGATACCTTTCTGATCAAGAAGAGGAAGATATGTGTATAACTGAAGGATTAAAGCCAGTTACCCAAAATATGTGTGCTGGTAAAGGATTAAAAGGCCTTCGAGCGCAGCAGATGCAAATTGTAACCAGGCAGCTAGAGAGCTGTGATGGTAATTATGCTTACCAACAGGATCTAACGTAAATGTGGTGGTTTGATTGTGGATAGAACTCTTGGATATATCATTCTTAAGAAATCAAAGTGATGGTGTTTATTCTTCAAATTAGAACATTCTTTAAGCAAACGAAATGTGGTAGTTCAGTGGGGCTGTATCTTTAGAAGCCTTTATCTTGATAAACTAGAGCAATACGGCACGTAGGTAATTCTCCACACATCTCAGTATTGGTGAAATTTGTTTTTTTCTTTTGAAAATGTAGTCTGTCTTCATTGCCAGAAATGTGCACTTCTTGTTGACCCATTATGATTTGTCCCCATGCTGATGGACAGGAGATTTTATGATGAACGTTTTGCCGTGCCTTGAACTTTAAAAAATAAATCATTTGGTGTTTGATCTTAATGTTTCTGTTTAGATTTGTGATATCAAAAGGAGCCGGTTAAATATAAGGTGTTGGTAGGGTCAAGTTGCTAGAATCTCTGAAAGTAAAACCTAAAGAGTGTGTGATTTTACTTGAACATTATATATTCAAGATACCTTTTGACTAACGAGGGAAATTGCTTGCTGAAGCCTGTGTTTTTATTGTTTAAAATGCTGAAATGGTGATGAAAAATATAGAGGATATTGATTTGTCACAGACACGTTGAATACTTGCCTTAAGGTCATGCTTGGATTTATTTTTTTAATTTTCTTACGAAAAGAACTTTAATTTCCATAGAAGTAGTGCATCCAAATTTTCTGAACTAAATATAGTATGTGATGCTATACAGAGAACTTAAATTTAATGGATCCAGCGGTAAATGTGTAATGCAATTATGAGAGAACCATGGGGGAAAAGCAAAAGATCTTTTAAGTCCATGTCGTTTCAGTCCCACTGGCTTCAGAAGTACTACTCATATCAGGCAGTCTTAAAGAAGAAAGGAATGTTATATATCCGTTGGCACATTTGTGCTAGTACTATGACATATATATTAGAGTACTACCTTTGGAAATCTGTGCTTTTACTAGTATAGTCTGTTTCATACTCCTTGCTAAAGCTCCTTGGTACAGGAGAGTGTTGCTGATGTAGCTATATCTGTTAGGGATTCTTACTTGATTCGCTACATTAGCCGGTAGTAGCACGAGTGTGACTGAAGTTCACACAGAATCAGGTTAGTGTGGAAGTGATTTGTACAAGCAATGTGGTTTTATGATAAAATAGCATTATTTGGCTTCAGTGTACTGCAAGGAGAAGGCATAAATGGGGCTGAGGATGGAATGAAGCTGGAGCAAGTGTGTCACTAGTGAGGTTAGAGAGGTAAGTCTAGCAGTCCTGGAAAGCTTTGAAAAGCCAAAGGTTTAGGCAGATGTGGGAAAATAAGACAACAGTGAAGGTATATGCTTAATTGCCTGAATTTGCAGAATGAGGTTTTAGAGCTAATGTTAAATAGGAGAAAGTCAAAGTCCCAGAGTTCCTGTAAGAGTAGTGAAGGTATTGAATGTTTCAGCTTGGAATTTCTTAAAATACTTCTTGGATTGGAGTCTGGGTTCAGGTAACTGAAGTGAATGTGGTATCTATCTGAGGAAATTACATGGAAGTGGTTCTTTTTCGGTGTGTGTCCCCCTACTAATAAATCATATCTGACTAGTGTAAAAACTGATTTTTTATTTTATCTCTTGATATAATTTTTTAGAGCCAAAAATATCTTGGAGAAAGGAAGCGTAGCTATTATTAACACATGGCTCAGCAGAACAGTCGTAACTAAGGTTCAGTTGAAGAATCTTTGTCTGTCTGATCAAGATCTACTCTGTTCACACCTCAGTTTGGATCTGTGAAGAAAGTGAATTTATTTTGCTTGTAAACAGTGCAAGTTTGATCTTTTATCACCAAAAGGCAGCTCTCAGTCCAATATTATGACTTCTTTCACTTTGTAGTTTTGGAGATTTTCTTCAAATAATATGATTGCACGTAAATTTTTACTGTCAAGCCTCTATTAATCAAAAAAGTCATATCAAGAATTGGGTTAAAAGCAGAGAGAATAGGAAATATTGTGAATTTCAATTATGCTATACTGTGTATGCCAAATTGCATATAGAATCATAAAGGTCCCAGCTTGTTTTTTTTCCTTTTTTCTTTCCTTCCTAGTGGATATGGAACAGTTAAATGTGCTGCAAAAACAGGAGAAGGTGCTTGAGCGCTGCAAGTACTGGCCTGCCTGTAAAAATGGAGATGAATGTGTGTACCATCACCCCACACTACCTTGCAAGTGAGTAGTGCAAAGCTCATCCGCTTGACCTGGTTGTTTTTTTTTTTTTAATTTTGGTGCTACAGATTTCTCTTCTGTGTTAGTAAATATTCCAAGACAGTGTAAGTCTGTTAGGGTAGGGATTGCAGCTAGATTATCACACTAATGTAATGTCTTCTGTTTTCCTCCCTTCTACCATGTGTCAGAATACAGTGATGTTTTTAGTAAGTAGAGTCACAGCTGTGGTCATGCAGAAAAAAGCTTAGTTTAGCATACAGGCTGGTGTTTTTGTGTGGCTTAGAGATGTGGGAATTGGTGTCTTCTTAAAACAAGAGGCACTCTTCTGCTAGCTGTCAAAATGCTTTTGAACATGTTAGGGTACTATTACCATTACCATGGTAACACAGTAATTTTTTATTTGAAAGCAAAGGCTAACTCTTGAATGTGTGCTGTACCTTTGCCTTCTCTTCCACAAGCAGCAACAGTCTAGAAAAATCGTTTCTGTTTTGAGATAAATGTTACCAGATTGGGTAGCTTCATTTACTCAGACATTTGAATTTTCTTTTAAAATCTGACATTACTAAATTCAAAATAAAACTTTCTCTTCTGTAAATGAACCATATTACTTAGTCAATTCTGTGCCCCTCTGTGCAAAGGTCAGAACAACAGTGTCTTTGTTGCTCTGCACTGCACACTAAGAATAATGCGTCTTAGCTTGCAACAAGTAGCTTGCTACCAAACTCCACTGAGTGTGAGGTAGTTCAGTTATTTACTGCATGTAAAGAGTGTCCATGGGGAAAACGAACACAGATCTGTTTGTGTACAGCTGGTACACTACACCCGCATGCCCTGCTTTGGAAGTAACTAACACATGTGCACAAGCCCTCTTGTAGTTCTGGTTTTCTCTGATATTCTGGCTTTCATGCACAGCAGCTGCTTGGGCATTTTGCTCCAAGTATGGGTTTATGACTTAATTTCTTTTCCCTCAGAGTTTTTCCTAACTGCAAATTTGCTGATAAATGCTTGTTCATCCATCCAAACTGTAAATACGATGCAAAGTGCACTAAGCCAGACTGTCCTTACACTCATGCCAGTCGACGAACCCCCCATCCACCTCCTAAACCAGGTGAGCACCTCTTGTTTTTCTGAGCTTTAAATGAAAGTGCTGAAGGAAAAGCAGTATATTTGGAAGCAGAAACTGACAGTGGTGAAAAAATAATTTTTTGCTTGATTTGACTTAATTTCTTTGAACTCTTACTGCTAGATGAACAAGAATAGTCCAGTGTTACTGCAAAAACTGTTACCGGAAAAATCCCTGAACGGTCTTATGCAAGAGCCCATATGAAATCTATGCAAGGCCAAAGTGGTGACTTGCACAAGGGATTAGCCAGCGTTGCAGTTTTACTCAAATTTGTTTCTTAATTTGGATACATGTTGTACCAATAGCTTGTGACACAAATTGAAAACAGGTTTCTGTCTTTGTATGAACATTTTTTTCTTTACTGACACTATAGGAGTTAACTTTATGTAATGATGAGATGACTTTCAGGGATGAGGTTACCCAGTGAAGGCAATAGCTGTGTTTGGATTACGGGTTGGTATTCCTGAGCCTTTGAACAGTGCCAAGGTGGAGGGCCTTTACTGCGCTGAAGTCATGATCTTTAGGAAGTGGTTTAGCCCTCAGTCATAGTACGGTGCAGTTTTGTTACTTTGCCAGAAGACAGAGTACAATGTGCTTATCTCCTGTATCGTTTCCAGCAGCTCCTGTGTATTCCTGGAAAGTGCACTGCCTGTGCTTTTCCGTCCGGTTAGCTTAAACTCTACCAGGCTTGCTGCTGTTTAAATTTAACATTTGAATGTCTCTGCCTACCAGAATCTCTGCTTAATTTGTTGGAAGCATTGCCATGACCATGGTACCTTCTGTCCTGAAATGGTGAAGAACCGAGACCAATGATTACCTGACAGTCTTGTTCTACCCCAGGATGAGATCCACTTGGTGCATTGGGATATGCTTCCCATATTTCTTGCAGAACTTTGGTGTACTATAAAACATAATTTCTTGCAGAAGAATTGATATATTTAAGTTTCTGTGGAACTATATTAAAAAGCAGTTTATTCTGATCCAGGGCTTACTTCCTATTCTTTTCTTTTCTGCTATTAGCACCACTACCCACACCGTCTATATCCTCCAGTAGTCCGCTGTGCAAGTTTTTTCCTGCTTGTAAAAAAATGGAATGTCCATTTTACCACCCAAAAGTAAGAATTGTCTATCATCTCCTATGTCTTCCCTTGCTTTCTAGAAAGATACTTGAAATATGTTACTTTGGGTCAGGAAATGTCACTAGCATTTCACACTTTTGCTTTTACTGTTCACATTTTAACTTTAGCTCAGAAACAGAATATGCAAAAGCAGTGACTTAAAGAATTTGGAAAATTATATTTTTAAATAATCTTTCTACCAGATGCTTCTGGGGAGTTTCAAACAGGCAGAAAGCCATAGCACTTGTCAAAAATCTGCCCAGCCAGGATGCTGGGGGCAGAGGAGGAGGACATCTTGTAGCCTCTGTGGAAGGAATATGTCTCAGACTCTTGACTCTTCATTCAGATGTGCTGCAATATAAAAGAACTTTAAAGATTGCCCAGTTACCCTGGAGTATATTAACATAATTTATATAGTACAAAAGTTTATAGCTCGGGTACTTCTATAGTATTGTGTCGCTGCATATTCTTATGCCAGTAAGTTTAGTGCTTTTTCAATCCCTAACAACGCTGAAATGCACTGGGTCCCCAGGACTCTGTTCCCAGATACTACTGGCCAGACACTCTGGCTTTTCCTCTGTCTTTCAGATAATGCTGTGTCATGCTCCTAACTTCCTAACACAGATCAATTGAAACTAAACTCTGTAAACCCTTAAAAGCAAAGGAACTTCCACCTCTTAGTGCAGCGGCAGTTTTGGAGCATCTAACTCTTAATACTTTTGAAAAAGGATTTCCTTCTGTCATTGGGTTGAACTGATTGCACTAGTCTGTGTAGCTGTCGATTCAATTATCTATTGGATATGTCATACAGTAATACAAATTTGCATGTAACATAGTCTAGGCTAGCTTGTTCAGGAGTTCAGCCAGCCAGCTTTGAGCAGCCTCTTCTGAAATGCTTTCATTTGTAGCATTGTAGGTTTAACACCCAGTGCACAAGACCAGACTGCGCTTTTTACCATCCAACTATTGCAGTACCTCCACGCCATGCCTTGAAATGGACTCGAGCTCAAACCAGGTGAGATACTTTTTTTTAGATTTTATTTTTCTTGGTTAGGTTTAGAGTGTGTTTTGTGACTTATGTCATAAATGTAACTTTATTCAGAGGAGTAATGTATGTGATGAACAATGAAGATTGTATGAAGAAAGATACCTGTTATAGGCATCTTTCTTTTAAAGAGCACTCTACTGGGTTTTTTTAGTAGTATAAACATTAACTAATGTGATGCAACACTGAGAAACAAGTGCCCTGCAGCTAGGATATGGCAGAGTCATTGGAATCCTGACCTGGACGTGTTGTGTTTACGGAGTTTTATCTGAATAAAGCTGAAAATCCAACATCAGCTCTTCTCTACTGTTGTTTTATCTTGTGTCCAAGCTGTCTTTTCCACAAAATGTTCAGATGTTTCTTGGAGTGTTTCTGGCAGAACAGCTCATTCCTGTCACCCATCCACGATTTCATAAACTGCTAGCAAACCTCCCAAAGCTGCAGTGATTGGTCTGTCTTAAAGATAGTCAAATCACATGAGCCTTTCACTCCAACCAATCATCTCATCTGCAACGGTCTTAATTGTTACAGGGGTAGGAAGCAAATCAGTTCTCAAATCATCTTTACAGACTGGTAGGATTGTTACTTACGTTAATGGTTTTTCTCTTTCCCCTCAGTGAATGATGATGATGATACAACTTGGGACTGAACTTTGCCTCCTTTGGACAGTAGTAGAAAGGAAGATTAACCGCCAGGGGCACAGGATGTTAGAAAAACTCATGCATTTTGAACTTTTAATATACATTGTTTTCATAAAATGAGGTTGATTGCATACTTGAAATGTCTCTAATTTTCCAAGTTTGTAAGTTTGAGCAATTTTACATTTTTTTTTACACTGTAAGAAGAAAATGTCTGTGTAAGAAAAGTTTTACTTTAAAGTCCATTAAAAACTTTCAAAGCACATTTTGTGTTCTATTTGGGTAACATTTCTCGCTTAAGATTAGGTGTGTTGAAGAAGTAAAAGTGTATCGTCAGAAGGTCTCAGAAAGCTTACTCCCCTATTCAGATCATACTAGAGGTATTTTTTGTTCAGCGGGTGTTTGGTACAATGCATACAACTGAACTGATGTCCTAGCAAATACTGACTGAACTCTTCACCCGCTCACAGGGAAAAAGAGTGTAAATGGTTTGTCTTTTGGGCATTTTTTCCATGATAGTCATCATATCCCTGATATATGGGGAAAAAACAAAGACGAGAACAAAAATGCTTTATAAGCAAGAACAATTAAACCATTAATGGTATTGTGCTCCACTTAAAAAGCCTACGAAATTAAATACCACTTCACTTGAAAATAAATGGTTTCAGATGTCTCCATTTACACCTGAGAGACAGAAAATACCTCTCTGAATCTTCTTCTGAAGAATCTGTTGTTGTTCCAGTACACCTGACTACCGGGCATACTTTGTGATTATCTCATTTGAGAAAGTTCCTGTGACTTACATTGCAAAAAATAATCCCAGGAGGTGACCATAAATATATTTAAGTGGTATTATAATGATGAAAAGTGTTAAGCAGTAACATAAATGCATTTTTTTATTAAATCTTTTGGGGAACTACATTTTCACAAAAATATACAAAAGAATTTCTTTTTACAAATATTTACATTCGATATCAGAAAACAATTTTAGCTACATATTTTAAACTTAAATTTGACAAATAGAGTCTTGAATTCTGAAACTTAACACTCCAGGAAAGTTTGTTTGTTTGGTTTTTTTTTTTGTGTGAAATAAAGTACTCAAAGTTCATACTCAAATTTTAAAAAATCTTAATTAATGCAAAAATCTGACATTTAATTTTTATATATATTTACTTTGAATAAACATACAACATTATTACAGGGATTAGATGTTCATGGTGGAAACCAAAATGGAGTACACTTAAAACCATGATCCGTATTACAGTAATACATGACCATACCTTTGGACTAGTTTAAAATACCTTTTTTTTTTCTTTTTTTACTTTTTGTTAAAGCGAGAGGGATTATCTGACACACTCCATAATGAAACACAACAAATTTGAACAGACAACTGGATTTTAAGTTTAAAGAACTACAGTAAAATATTTTCCAAAGGTGACTTGACAGGGGAGTGGAGGAGGATGGGCTCTTGCGTTGTACGGAGCAATGCTGAAATGGATTTCCATACGAAAGACTGCAAATTACATTATTTTTCTATAGAATTTTCCAATGCCTTCATTAGCTGTCCCTTTCAGAAAGAGCTGCCACCATGAAGCTATTTTCTTCTTCAGCGTGAGATGAGGAGATGATAATTTGTAAGGGTAAGGGCGGCAGAAAACTAGTACTACCTCCATTGCTGAATTTCAACAGCTTTGATGTGTTATAACCTACTGTCCAATGTTAAGCATAAGGCAAGCTGCTGATTTTTCTCTGCTAAAAAAAGGTGAATAAACCAAACCACAAAGCTAAAAGTGTATGTATTTTTAAAGGGAATGGTCCTAATGCATTTACTTAGATTTTTACATTATTTTAAGTGATCATTGTGGTCTTGAGTGTATTCTTATGTGAAATTTTACATTAAAAATGCATTAACTTTCTTCACAAATTAGTAATGGAGCTTTTCCATTACTTAATATAATATGCTGTATACCTGTAACTGAACTAAAAAGCATAAACAAAGCTTATAATTACAAAATACTGCGTTTTTTAAAAAAAAAGAAGAGCTATTTCGCACCTAAAAACACAACACAATGATAAGTAGTAGCAAGTAAAGGAAAACTAGACCAGAAATGGGGGAAGTACTACCCAACAGCACCAACATTTCACGGAAGTACAGAAAACCATTTTTTTTCATGCAGTTTGTGCCTGTGTTCATGCTTGGAGTTTCTTTAGAAAATACATTTATTAAATCACCAAAGAGTACAGTATAGAGCATGTCCTGGGTGTGACTGGTGTTTGAAAAAATCGTGCAGTTATGGAACATTTACAGCTCCATAGCTGAACATTACACATTCAGATTTTAAGTAATGTGCTGGAAAAAGGTATTTAACTGCTTTGCTTCTTGGGAAGAACAAATACCCTATTTTTCACCTGCTGGGCATGGAAAGATCTCCTCCTCCTCCCCAGGCTCAAGAATTTGCAACTAAGTTAATAGAAAATTCATTTTCAGCAATGTAATGCTTTGTATTGGCTTTGTATTGTCAGTCACCGTAGTAACAGCAAAGCTGTGGTTAAAGCTGGCTGACTCTCACTGCCACTACATTTGGAAAAGTATTTATTTGGGGGTTGCGAGGCGGGGAGTTGGGTTAAGGGCTCCCATGGGGAGAAGGGAAAGAAAAAAAAAAAAGGAGAAGAGTAATGGCAAAAGCTAATGAATGAATAATTGGAGGCTATTACGTGAAAAACTTTTTTTTTGCCCCCCAAAAGGCTTATAATCCTACAGAGGACTGAAACTAAAATACCCCTACTACCTCCCTTTTTCAGAACCCACCAATGCAATACTTGTTTCAATAATCTACATTTTTCTCCCTCAAGCACTCGTCTCCTGCCTCAGCCCCACTGAGACCAGCCGAGGATGGCACTAGCTTTGGGAAAGCTGCAGTTACACACAGGGATGGGATAGCAGCATTTGGCCCCTGTGACAGAAGAATTCATCTAACGAAAAAGTGGTAAAGCACGAATGACGTTAATCCTCTAATTTAAAACACCTGTTACATTGGGGCCTCTGAAGAGTTAACTGGGTACAAGCAGCTTTCTTCTAAGAATGTAGAACAGTGGGAATCACACATCTTTACATCACTGGAACGAACATGACAATAATTTTGGGGATATCTTTTAAAAAAAAAAAGTTTGGGGTTTCTTGGTTTCGGTTCGTGCGGATTTTTTTGTTTTTTTAAATAAGCTCTCACATGGTTTCTGTGTCCAAACTGAGCAAGATATGTACTAGTAAGGGCAAAATCACTTTGTAGGGTTTTGAAGTTATCCCACAACAAGCAACAGGAACTCAGGAAACTCATGTTTTGGCATTTGGAAGAGAAATCCAAACACACTGAGCGATAGGAACGTACTGCCTCTCGTGTCCTAAACTCAGCTGCCCTCCAGCAGGTGGAGAAGCACCAGTTCAGCTCTGTGCACAGATTTTATGTTTCTTACTAAGAGTTGCTACAGGTAAGTCCAGTTCAGTTGTCTAAGCGGCACCTGTAATGAGTTCAGATTTTTTTTACGTAACGTTACCTTAAGTCAGTTATTTCCTTATTTTGTACTCATTTATTACGGGATAAAATCAAGAACTTTACTAATTTATTTCTACTCATATGTATTCATAGGCCTACATTATACTCGCCTTCTCTGACTTACTATACCTGTATTTGGAGGCCTAAGGCAAGGAACCACCAAAGGAAAATTCAGCTCGTGTGATTTGAATTGCCCTCTGCACATACCTGTCTCCATCACACCTGGATTTAAACGGAACAAATACAGGCCGTAGCTTTAATGTCCGTCATCTTAAATGTTGTGCACGTCTGGGAACAGAACCAAGAACTGGTGAATAACGTTTCAATAGGAAAGAAATGAAAGAGGCAGTAATTGATACAGGTTGGTTATGAAGAGTTTTCTAAAGTATAGTATTTCTTTGGTTTAATATTTTTTGTTTAAAGAACGCATTTAAGCCCAGTTGCACAGGAAACTAAGATATGGATAAATCCGAAGAGGCCTGTTAAAACAATCCATGTTTGGTTTATGTGGGAAAGATGAGTAGCGTTTTAAAATACATCCTTAAACTCTTTTACCTGAGCTCTCAGTAATACGTAGCAATTTTATATTTACAGTATTTTCTTAGTTACCAACACGTGTACACCGCAACAGTGGCTAATCTGTGTTAGCTGCTGTACTTCAGCACTAAATAGTTGTCCCATAGGTATGGGAGTGGAGAGAGCAACGAATGGGAGCGGCTGCATCTTCCTCAAAACAGAGCGCACAAAGTTGCCTGCAGCCTTTCCTTGAGCACTCTGCTGCTCTCCAGTCCTTAACCTCCGCAACCAGCCACGGAATACTCCCCATGTGAAAGACGGTGTTTGCCAGAAAGTGGTACGACCCTCCACCCACCACCACCTGCTGGTTCTTCGGTCCCGCCTTTTCCTATTTATGAGCGTTCCTTCCTCTGTTTTCCTTTGTTTTCCTTTCTTTCTCCTTTTCTCCGGGTTTATATTTACTGGTTTCCTATTACTGTTTCCTCCATCCTATGTTCCATAATCTCAAAAAGAAGTGGAAATTATTAGGATTGCCTGTTGTCACCATGCTCAGACCTTACACTTCTTTCTGTTGTTCTCTTTTACCCTGGGGGGGGAAAGAGAACACGTTTCACGCCTTTTTTTTTTTTCTTTTCTTTTCTTTTTCCCCCAAAGAAAAAGTGAATTGGTTGGATTGCTGATTTAACAGTTAACAAAAAAATAGATCAAGGTTATGACTGGTATGCCGTTGGTAATCTGAGAAGGGGATGGTGACTGGTTACCTGTTCTAGCGTCAAATAGACTGGAGAAAACCCCCCATCAAATCCACCCACTAATTTTTAGTTACTTATGAATGACTTTGGCAAGGAAACCTATTGTGGCTTTTATGCATATTATATACCTAAAACTATTCTTTTTTTCTGAAATGAGATATGCAGAGTTTAAGTCTGAAGTCAAAGTTAACTAAAGAGCAGAAGCTGGAGACAACCAAAGAAACGGGCTTGGTCTAACCACACCACAGGGTGTGTAAAGAATGCGTAGTAGGCTTTGGCAAGCTCACGTATCTAGCCACACGAGCAAAAATCGAACAGTGCTATAAACTTTAGGAAAACAGAGCAGATTGTAAGGAAGCGTAAGAAAACCATGCGAACAAAAGAGTATGCAAATGCAATACAGCTAGTGATGTTAAAATCACTGATGTGGCAATTTATTTTGTG